GGGGATCACCCCCCCCCCCTTGCTTATACTTAGAAATTTCTTGCCCAAGTCGCGAATTTTTGGGTTTGGTTCCAGTGCTTGACATTTGAAGAGATCTTCTCTTCAGTAACATCAGTAACATGGAATACTCATGCTCTTTCTCCAAACAGCCTCGGTATTCTTAGTATAACTATTCACGTTTTGTCTGAAAAATTTTTTTATACTTCATGCTATTTTGGCTCTGTTGACGGATGTTAAAAGTTGTTTCAGATTCCGCGCAATTTGGAGGAGAAAGATCTTCGGCATCTATTCGAATCATTCGGCAAAATTTATGAATTTACAATTTTGAAAGACAAATATACCGGACTGCACAAGGGCTGTGCATTTCTCACCTACTGCCACCGCGATAGTGCCATCAGATGTCAAGCAACGCTGCACGACCAAAAAACGCTTCCAGGAGTAGGTTTTAACTCATTTTGGTCAGCTTCCTTGAAGGCATTCAAATTGTATAACATTGTGAAATGACAGTTCTCTTAAGCGCGAGAGTGTAAAAAAAAACTCCTTATTAGAATCCACGCCTTGGATAAAAGTAGTAGTTTCCTGAACTATAAATCTGATCTCTGCCCTCAGGTCTAAATTCAGTCAAATTCTACAATTTAAGAACTAAAAAATACAAGTTTGAAATTCCAGAGGAGTTGATGGCTTTATGAGGCCAACCTAAAAATGACTTTAATTCTGTTCTGCATTTTCATCCATCATCTCAGACCCTAGCTTGTGCTAACTCGCCCTCCTAGGCTTTACTTAAGGGGGAATTTAGCCTCGCGGTTTGGCACTATTCCAAAACAATGAAAATGTGCTTTATAACTAAATCATACATTATTAGTAGACAAGTCAAAAAAAAAACCGTTGCAAAAAGTTAAAAAAACAGCAGTATGCTTTGTCGCGCTAATGCTTCATGAACTCAGAATAGCTTATTGAAAAAAAAACTCAGAATCCCGCTTATTCTCTGATTCGTGCCCCTGCTTTTATGAGGATTATAGCTCATAGAAATTACAGCGACAGGTGCACCCAGGTCGCTGCACAAGTGTTATGGAAATTTTAGAGGTATAAACAGTGAATACGCGTAACCAGGAGAATGGAAGAGGGCGGACGGCTTAAAATCGTCTCTGTATTAACACATACAGTTGGTTTAGCGTTACCAGCCCGTCGTGGATGCACAGTCGAATTCTGATAATTTAATAAAGACATCCAAAAGTGGCATTTAGATCTCGCATATATTCAAGCTTGTGATTTGGTAGCCTCTCCGTTTTCATCCCTGATAACTTCATAGAGGATTCTTGCACTGTTACAAATAGTGCTGATTTTCTTCTCGCAACTGCAATTTTCTGTATTTTAAATGTCTTGTAAATTCCAAAGCCTTCTATGTTAATATTTCGTAATCGTCCCCTCTAAAAACGACTAGGCGCCTTTTTTCAATATTTTGGAAAAGTGACTATTTTTGCAAAAGTGGGTTTTGTGACAGTATACCAATGAGGCTTCATCACAGCAGGTGTTTCCAGTGCATAGTTTGAAGTAGAAATGCGAACACCCTATGCGCAGTAATTGCACAACTTTTCAAATGAAAGCAAATTTAATTTTACCTTTTCACTCTTTCTTAAGCTCCCGCGCAGAATTTTCTTTAATTTATTACCATTATTGCATGTCCTCGATTATTCTCTATTGTTAATGGTTATTTGCTTGAGAAACTGAATAATTTGCTGGGGGAATCTTTTTTTGTTTGCACAGCAAAAAAATCGTTCTCGTTCAAATCCTCCCGATTTCTAAGATTCTCTTTTTATTCATTAGAAAACATACTCAATTCATTTGGATAAAGTAAAGGAATTCATTTTTTCAACAATTTCATTAACGCTCATTCTACAATTCGCATTCTTCTACTGTCATGAATTGTGACTTGGAGACGACGAAGTACAAGAAACTCTAAAGCCAATCACTGAATGAGAGGCAGGCAGGGAAGGAGGAAGAAGAAAGCAATGGCTGATAGGGCAAGTCGAACTTCTTTGGATTTTGCGCTTGGGGCTGTGGGCCATTGCATTTATCGTTCCACTTTTCCTCCGTTTCCAACGAGCTAAGCTACCTCCATCTCCGCTCCAAACCTCTTTTCGTGTTTTTGTCGGCTTTATTGCTTTCCCTCCTTCCCTCCTGTCCTCCCTCCCCTTCCACATTCCTGAAAAATGGCCAAGTAATCGGAATTGGGGAGCTGCACATTTTGGTTTTCCCAGTAGCAACAACGTTCTCTTTTGTTATTGCTCTTGCAAACTATTCGTTTTCGCCCATTTGTGTTGTGCGCTATGGCGGCGAAGCAGAGCCTATTATTTAGGCTGTTTGCGTAGCACAACTGAATTTATAGGAACTGATTTTCACTGTCTGCTAAATTGGTATCTGAAAGGTGGAATTATGCTTGCTCTTCAGGTATGCTGCAGTAAGTGAATACACATTTGTACAGCCTCATGCAAACTGATGAAATTTTGATAAGCTTCAGTTAATCAGATTTTTAAAGTATAAGAACTGAGAAACCAATAGGGTTGGCTTCTTTTGGTAGACTAATGAAACTAAATCTTACTGGTCGGCTGATATGACTGATTTATACAGGTAAACCCGTAGGATTGATTCGACTGATAAAATTGATTTGAACTGAGAGAGCCGAACAAAAAAGATTATCATACTAGCTAGCATGAAAAAAATTATGGGCGCTTTTCACTTTGAAAGCCGCCGAGCAAAAAATTATTACGGATTTTATTTTTTACAGTGTGAAATCGATATTTTGCTATTATACTCGACTATTTGAGTACTTTAATTTTTTACTATCTCAGGAGATATCAGGAACGAAATTTGTTTTCCTCCTGCATACCCCTGCTGCTTTTGCTTGCTGGCAGCATCACGAATTTTTGTTTCACTTTTTCCGCTTTCTTTTAATAGAATACCAGTGGTCAGCTTCGAGTTATTTCTGTAGAGGAAGATTAAGAAATGCCGGAAACTGTTAATAAGCTTTTAGCTAGTAACTTAGAGTATAATAACTTATTTACATATAGTAGAAATCGTTTCTATAATGAAATGGCTCATTCCTATAAATTCAGATATTTTGCAATTAATTTTTAAGCCATATAATCTTTGAACTCGTTCTGAAAATCAGCTGCCAGCAGGCAATGAACTTTTCAGGATTAAGCTTTATCAGTAAAAAAGGAATTAATTTCACAGTAAAAAATGAATAATGCGAAAAAGTTTGCAAAAGACTACTGTTGGCAGATCGTTACTTTTCATTTATATTGGCTGTAAAACGGCTTTCAATGGTCTATACCCGAAGCGCCCTTCAGCTAATACTCAGTAAAAGCCTTGTCAGCAGATGAATGCTATCACTAAAAATGAAGCAAAGATCTACAGGAGAAAGTAGATGTATTTGCGGAGCGGTAAAAAAGCAAGGATGCAGTATGCTGAATAGAAAAATGTCCGTACTTGGAAGGCTACTAAAATATACATCGAATAAAAGACAAAAAAATATGAGAAGTATTAAAATTCTTTGATAAATTAGCTGGTATCAGGTCACAACTCAGTGATGATTCCCATTCCTACCCGTCTGTTTTGCTCTCAGCTTCATCCCAGTGTATCATCTGATATACATTTCTAAATATAGTAATTCATTCCTCATAATATCAAGGTCGCTCAGATTATCAGCGTGGGTATCACTTGTTTGTAACCTCACTGGCTGCCTCTAAGGGTCGAGCGCAATTATGCCAAGCCTTTCGATCTTAAGCTTCATGCCTGTGTTTTCCACAATATTTTTAATTGTACCAGATATTACATTTGGTTTTGGGCACAAATATGAGGAATGTGAATGTTGCAAACAAAAAGCAGCAACAACGGGACGCTGCTCATTTTGAAAGACACTGATTGAGATTTTAGAAATCTGCTAGCTCTTTTCCATTTCTCCTTTCAGTATCTTCAGTTAAGCTCCACAGCAAGCTCTAATTTTTGTTTCTATTATCCATTTTGAGTCAATTTCAAAGTAAATTATTAAAAAAAAACACATTTATATAGTTATCCAAGATTCGAAACTCTAAAAAAATTCACTTACAACTTAAAAAATTCAGATGAATCGTGCGATGCAGGTCAAGCCAGCGGACAACGAAAGCCGTCCGAACTCACCGAAGAATGCTGAGGAACGGAAGCTTTTTGTTGGGATGCTGTCCAAGCAACATAACGAGGATGATGTACGCGCCTTATTCGCTCCTTTTGGCGTCATTGATGAGGTAAAAATGCGTTAATTTTAAATTTCAACAGACAAATGTTAGCAGGTTCGTGCGCTGCTGTTCCTCAACGCATTTTAGCCTGTTGCCAACCAGGATGAGGTGCCTGGGCTGGAATTTTGAGGGGGCAAATAAAGGAACAGTTACGCGGTCTTTAAAACGAGGCACGCTTTTCATGAAGGCTCTACCTAGAGCTGCTAGGCTCTACCTAGAGCTGCCCAATCTAAGAAAGAAATTACTGGCACAGTTGATTCTGGTGTACTGAGGCATTCAAGTAACATCATAAATATGGGATCTCCATATTAGCTAGCCGGTTGATCCTAGTATACTCGGCAACTTCACGTGAAGGCAAGAGTCTGCAGGTTTTGACTTTTTTCGACTTTATTGGCGCACCCTTGGCTGAATAACACCCCCTTATTTTCATTCGTCTCTTTCTTATTCATTCTTTTAATTTATTCGACAGAAAGTATAGATTTTTTCCATCATTTTCTATTCAATGTGAGGTTTCATGAATAAACTAGGGAAAGAGAGGGGAAAGAGGAAGGAAAGGGACATTAATTATTTGCTTTTTCCCTTTGGTTTTGGCGGTACTTATGAAGGTGACCAATGTCTCCTAGAAGAAACTCTGTCGCATCTTTGGACAATTTGAAAACAGTATCCAACGGCATCCAAAACAGTTCGCGTCTGCTTTAAAAGTAGAAAAATTTTTTGCTCTTTATTTTTGTTTCATTTGCTTGCTATATTTAATCAATTCTTTTAAACCTGTCTGTAATTAATTTATTTCCTTTCAACTTTAATTTTTTCACATTTTGGATGCAATTTAAATAGCATTCACTTAAAAATTGTTTGTAGCCATAACCGTTGTACTGACGAGGTCCAGATCTGGTGCTCGACGGCAATGTGTTGCGAGTTAATAGACCGAAACTTTCCTATTTAGCTGATTATTTTTAAAATCATATTCCCTTCCATGCTAAAAAATAGTCCATGCATTATCTTCCGTAAAAGTTTTTTAAAATATACATTGAAACTTCAATATTTATTATCAATTTCTTATTCGTCGAGTTTAGTTTCCGAGCTTACTTCTTATTCCCAAGGGATGTCGGATTTGATTTTCTCGCAAAAATGCAATTTCGATTGCCAGCTAGCAATTGATGTGCGGCAGCAACGAGCGAAAATAAACCTTAATGTGTCTGCCACAAGCGGCAAGTGCTGCTCACAATCAAACTCAATTCATGGAAGCGAGGAAATGAAATTGACTGAAGTCGTCGCTTTTCGCTCAGAATTCTTTCAATTCTCCGCATTTTTCGTTCCGAACATTTTCCATCCTCGGTCTATCAAACACTTGGCACTACTTTTGGCCAACTCGATTTTTCACATCACAAGGCAATAATTTCGTTTTGTCGTCTTACATTTCTCGCATTTTATTTCCATTTCACGCCAAAATTCTCCGATGATTTCAAAAAAAACCATATAGCTGAAACGAAAAAGCTGTCTTTCCAGTCACATTTTAGTATTACTACATCTAGTTAAGCGCTTTTGCATATTTATGAAAAAGAAAAAAGCGTAATGACGAGAGTTTGTTGATGCTCATACTTTCCGCCACCTCTATATATAGTCGTGCTTCTGTCACTCATTTGCAACTTAGAAACTAGCAATTTCTCCGTGCATGAAGATTTTTAATTTCTTCGTTTCTGAAACCTTTAATTTTCGGGCTTTTTCATATGACAGATGCATTTCGTAGGCTTCACTGTTCAGTTTCTTAATTGCTCAGTTTACTGTAATAGGTTTTCGGTTTAAGGCCTGCTTTTTTTAAAGACATTTCTAGAAAAAAATTTCGCACTTTCGATCATCTATCCGATGTTAGTGCACTCCCTTTCATAGTCCGCCCGAGTAGTCATTTACTTTCTCGCGTATGCGGTAACGCTCAGTGCACACGAAACCATTATGATCCTCAATAATTTGCAAATCCAAAAAACTAGACTGTGATTTGATGTTTCAAGATGGCATATGGTCTCAAGATGGCGTATCATCTCGAGACCGATTTTGATTTTTAGCCACCCATGCGAATATTCAAAGGAGTTAAAACGGTACATGTGTAGCTCTTGCATAACAGTACGTCTACACAAATTGATTATATCGTTGACAAAAAAATGAAAAAAAAAAAAATACAATCATCAGTAAAACTGTGAGATACAGCGTAGCAAAAAGAACTTCAACTGATCATGACTGTAGGCTCATACATAATATTAATGAATGATTAAAAATATAAAAGCAGGCAGTAAGGTGCGTGTTAACTCCTTTAATCATC